AGAAAGCAACAGGCTGAGTCAGGTGCTCAGGGTAACCCCAGCCCACATGTTTGGCCATCACCCACCCCCCCAGCCTGGGAGAGCTGGGACACAGCCCCCTGCTCAGAGCCACTGTTGTCCCCTCTTCCGCTACCTCTGCTGATGGGGAGGGAAGATCTGGGGGAAAGGCATCTCCTGCCACAGAAGGACTGGCAGCACTTGTGGAACCGCGGGCACTGCCAGTCGGAGAAGCACCTGTTGGGCGGGTTGAGCATCGCGCAGGTGATCTGGACACGTGGGCAGGACCAGGAGCTGCCTGCAAGGGGAGAGGGCTGGTTGCTGCGGGCACCTGAGGGGTGCTGGGGAAATGCTTCCCAGCAAATGCCCCCTTCCTCTTCTCCCCTAACCCCCCACCCCATCTCAGAGGAGCCGTGCAAACACAGCTGCCTCCCCGTGCCTCCCCTAGGACATCCCGTACCTGTCGGCAGCTCTGTCCAGAGGAGAAGCATCCCCACCAGGAGGAGGGCAGCCACTGACTTCATGCTGCTGGATCCCTAAGAGGTGCAAGCCTAGAGAGCTGAGAAACTGGTATTTAAACCCTTGGGGAGGAGAGGGGTGGGGAACAGGGCTGGGCACGTGCCAGTGTTTGCACCTTTTTCCTCTGCTTCCTCGTTGTGTTTTCAGGAAACCCTTTGTGCAAGATACCAACAGGATTGTTCAATCGTTCAAAGCCCTGTTGTTCCATTGCAAAACTGTTCCCTGCAGCCACAGCTGGGGCTGAGGGACAAGCCAAGGGGAGTCCAAGGCATTGCCCTCCAAGCAGCCTGGAGGCAGTGGAGCTGCTTTTAGCTGGGCAGGTTTCTCCAGGAGGTACCATTGTGGTGAGCCTGCTGTGCTCCTTTCTGGAGGCTCAGTAGGTGGGTGTCCCTCTGTGCCTTTCTTCCACATGGGCCTGCAAGCCAGACCTTGTAGCATGATCCAGATGAGTGTGTGAGAGGCCTCGTGCCTTCCCAGGGATGATTCTCTCAGGCTTTCCCAGTGGAAACCTGCCCCAGTCCCAAGGCAGGCAGGACTCCTGCCCTGCTGATGGCATAAACTCATGTGGGGAAAGCAGCTTTGGCTCAGCTAAAGGTGAGTCTTTCCCAAGCTCTGTGGGAGTCACCTGGATCTCAGCATCTTCTCTGGGTGGCAGTGGCTGTGTGGGAAGCAGGTTGGTGCTGAAAGAAAGTGGCTGGTCTTACCAAGACCAAGAGTTTGGTCCCTCATCAGCCAAACATCCCTAGTGTGACTGAGCCCTGGCTCTGGATGACTGTAGGGATAAGAGGCTGCAGTCCTTTGCTCAGAGGACAAAGATCTCACTATCCTTCAGGCCTCCATCCTCTCCCTTACAAGCTCTGGACAAAGCTATTTTCTTTAGATACTCTTGGGCAATGGGAAATTACTCCATTTCTCACCAATGGGTCAATGTCCCCCTTGCCTTGTGTAACAGGTTCCTTGAGCCTCTCTGTGGTATTTCTAAAGTTGGCAGAAACCAGAGCTGTGCTGGGAAAAAGGTGCTGGGAATTCCCCAGGAAGGAAAGGCACTCTGCAGCCAAACACCCTGTTTTCATGCAAAGGACAGACTGGGGCAGCCCCTGATTTTGCAACTGAGCAGGGCAAGGAGCAGCAGAAGCCCAGGCATCACCCTTCCATGCTCCACACACCCCCTGAGCCCCCCATCATCACCCAGCCCCTGGAGCCCCTGCTTTTCACCTGGAGCATGGTGAGCATCTCACTGTGCTCTTTCCTACTCAGATTTCTATTTTCAGGTTAATGTGCCACATTAACTAGCCCTTAACTTACTGGGTATCTGATAATTATTCTTCAGTTACTCTAATGATTCTGTGGCTGCATTTAGGTCTTTGTAAAATAATTTATTAAATAACTTTAGCCAACCCAAACAGACTTTCTGGGCCATGCACTAATTTAGTACTTTCAATGAGAATTACAAGCACTGGGTTATTTTTTTAAGCAATCCTTTGGCATGCAGCTGCTGCTGGGATTGGAGAGGACAGTTCTGTGCTCCCAGCTGGTGCCAGGATCTGGCTGAGGTTGTGCTTGGGGCTGCACCTCCAAGAGAGGGCAAGATGCCAAGGAGCTGAGGCTTGGATTCAGCTGCAGAGGAGCAGGGGTGGAAGATAATAATCTGAATGGCTTTTGACTGTGCTTTGTCCACAGGGGAAAAGCCTAAAATCGGCTGCTATTGCAAACTCCCATGGAAGAACACAGGACCACCTGCAGTCCCTGTGTTGCCCCTTGCCACGGGTGCAGCACCCAGTGCTCCAGGGTCCTGCAGGGCTGTCCCCATCCCACACCACTCTCTTACTCTCCTCTGTGAACAGCACTTCGTGAGCCCCCTCCTGAGAAAGCAAGGCCTGAGCTGTGCGATGCTGAAGATGCTGATGCTGCAACTTCCTGGCCAGGTCAGAGCTGCCTGGTCTGTTTTTCCTGGGGATGGCAAGGAGAGGGAGCCCAGCAGCCCCTTGTCCCCCACGGCCATGCCCCAGCCTTAGCAGGGGCACCCCATAAATTGCAGAGCTCTCAGCCTGACGCTGAGCTCCATCCACCCATCCCAGCCCATGGCTCAGGATGCTCCGCTCGCCCCGGGGTGCCCCGGACATTGGGTGCGTGCCCAGGGCACCCTCATTAGCGCTGGGCTCTGGTGCCATCTAGTGAAAAGCCACTAATGAGGCTCTGCAGGACCGCGCAGACACAGCCCCGCTCCCTGGTGCGGTCCCACAGCCTGGTCAGGGGATGCTTTCCCGAAAATCCCACCTCAGCTAAAACCCAGCACCTGCTGCTCCACCTGGTGCCTCCCCCTCACACCTCCCCACCGATGCTTTGTCACCCCCAAGGATGCCAACCCCCAAGGATGCCAGCCCTGGTCGAGCCTCTTCCTCTGCCAGCCCAGCTCCACTTTGTCTACAGCCTCCCCTACTATTTGCTGAAATGACTTTGGGCCAAGTCAGAACTGGTCACTCCCTCAGGGTGCCATTATCAGCCCTGATCAAGCTTATTATTAAATCCCAAACTTTGCTAGTTGCTTCCTTTCCCTCCAATTTTTTTTACTTTTTGTTTTCTTTTCCCTGCAGTTACTTGGTGTTTTTTAGGGACTTGTATACAAAGCTGTATTTTTTAGGGAGCTGCAGGGAAGTCCCAGCCCCCAGTTTAGGGGTTGCAGCACATTGCTGTGGTTTGTTGGTTGCTGTGCTCTGTAGCAACAGGATCTGGCTTGAATGTGGCTTGTGACCATCAGCACCTTCATAACCCACCCCCAGGGCTGCCTGCTGGGCTGCAGGGCAGGTGAGATGGATGGGGAGCTGGGGGGAGGATGTGGGGCTGCCAGGAGGGCAGTGGGGCTGCCAGCTGGGATATGCACAGAGCTAACCAGCAGTGCTTTGTTTGCCAGCCCAGCAAACAGATAGAATGAGGCTAGAGATGCCCCAGTCCACACCAACCAGGACAAGAGCCCTGCTCACAGGCCAGCAACCCCCTTCACCCAAGTGGGGAACCACTGCTTCTGATTACAGGTGGAAAGAGCTACTCTTCACCTTGTAAAGCAGATGTCTGAGCACCACTCAGCTCCTCTGCCTGGAGAAGTCCCAGGGACCTGAACCTCAACCGAGGACCTGCTTTCAGCCTTTTGTTCCCCTGGGCACACGAATCCCTCCTGCATGAATTACTAGCTCAGAAGCAACAGCTCCTCTCAGCCTCACTTTGCTCTCACCTCCTGGCTATGGGACCAGCAAGCAAGGTGAGTGAAGGACCCCTCAAAAAAACCCTTCATTGTCCCTCTCCAGCAGCCTTTGCCTGCAGGCAGGAGACAGGACTAAGAGGTGACCTCCTTCACCCTGGGTGTGGGACATGGGGGCTACACCTATCTGGGCTCCTGTGATGATTTAAGATGCCACCTCTGCACAATACACCTAGGGGATACAGGTGCCCAGCTGCCAGCCAGGATGCTCAGCAGCTCTCTTGCCCCCAGCATATGAGTCCGAGCATCACAACCACATCCCCATGAGTGTAAGTGACCCTGCACCACTGACCTGGCACATTTAAACCCCCATAAAGCAGTTGCTAAGCTCCCTGTGCTCCAACAAGCGCACAAAGCAAACACAGGATGGTGACACAGTGCCCATGTCACACTGGCTCCCTCCAGCTGAGGCTGGGTTGGCAGTGCCCGGGGGTGCCCACAGAGCAAGGATTTTCCCCAAAGGATTTTCAGAGCCTGAGGACATGGGGCCTTTGCAAAAGCCAGAGGCCCCTGTTCTGACGCAGAGATGCCTCCACAGCCCTGCAACCCAGCTAAAAGGAGAGGGATGTGTCATACAAATCTTCAGGGTGTTTATTATCAGGATAGAAATTTCCATATATAAAAGAAGTGTTTAAAAATAGCACTACCCTGCTCTCAACATGAAATATATATATATACACACACATAGATATTTATATAAAGAATTATTGCTATTTTGCTATGTGATAAAAAAAAACCCAACAATTAACAAATGAGCTAATGACCAATTCCCAAACAATTCTGCCAAAATGGGCAAGGGGCTCTGCTGATTCCTGCAGTTCCCTCTCCTAGGGATGCACACCCTGGCTGGATGGCACACATCCCCTTTATGCCTGGGTGTCCCTGCCCCAGCACTTGGCAGCAGATGCTGAACTAGCAGAAGCTCTTGAGGTGTGATCACTGCAGGTTTTTTTTCCACTGTAGGTTTTTTTCCTCTTGCAAAGCAGCTTATTGAGGGCCAGGGGGGCTGTGCAGGGCTGGTTCATCCCAGCTGCTTTGGGAAAAGGCTGCAGGTCATGTCTCCTCCTCCAAAGCCTGCCCACACACACATCCCACCTCATCCCAGACTTGCCAGTTCAGGGGAACGAGGCAACAGTGACAGCTGAACCCCCTGGCTTCACAGCAGGGGGTTTTGCCCAAGTTCTTTTAGGGTTTGTGGGTTTGTTTGGGGTATTTTAGGATTTTTGTTTTTTTAAATACACTCCACATCCCCCTGGGGATTTTGCAATACATTAACAAACACTGATGCTTTACAATAACCTAGCAATAACAATGCCACGGAGCTACTGTCCATCCCCAGGCTCCATCTGAGCTCTGCAGCCCCCTGCAGGGATCACTTCTTGTTGGCAATCTGCTTCTCCAGGTCTTCCAGTCTGGCTGTCATCTGAGCAAGTGAACGTGCTAAGGAAAAACCTGAGCCAGATGGTCCGGTCTTTTTTCTCCTTGAAGGAGCCTAAATTTTCCCCAATCCCATTTTCCCATCCCTCCATTCCCTGTGTGGGATATGTTCCCAGGCTGTCCTTGTACCCCACAAGCCCAGGCATCACCCCAAAGGATATTTTTCTCAGTCAGGCTCTGCAGGATGGCCACGGTGTTTGTCTGGAACTGCACCAGGGCCTCACACTCACACGGGCTGCGAATCTCTGTCTTCCCTTTGCCCTCCTCTGTGACCAAGAGGGGTTGGGTGCAGTCAGATCCACAGGGTGTCCAGGTCTCCTCTGCTCCCACACTCTGTGAGTCCCCTGTCCCTACAGCCAACTGCTGGAGCTGGACCTGAGACTCACAGCTCTCCCTTTCCCCCCTCTTTTCCCAGCCTTGCTTCTTTTTGGCCAGGCTGAATCCCTGTGAACCCAGGGAGCTCACTGCCAACCATTCCACCCTGCCCAGCTGCACATGGTCACAGCATCCTCAGGACAGCCAGTGCAGAGCTTTGGTCCACCTCCAAGCCTGGATGGCAGGGAGGGGATGCTGACCCCATGTCTGCAGCCCCACAGGAGCCCCTGGGGGTCCCAACAGCACTGAGGAGCACCAGGGCAGGGAGAACCCTACAGAAACCAGCCTGGTCCTCCTCCACCTGCACCAACAGAAGTGCAGGTCTGGATGAGGAGATGGGCCACCCTCGGAGCTGGGGCAGCATCCCTCAAGGCAGAGTGAGACCCCAGATTCTGCCTGTGCATCAGAGTGGGTGTTCATGCTCCATCCCTTTTATATTAAACCCCCTAGCTCCACCTCCTCCTCTTCTAAATGCCTCCCTGAGTCCCACCTCTAGACCCACCACACCCTGATGAGATCCAGAAACACCCTAAGCTGACACCAGCCCAGCTTGACCCTGGGTGCAGGGTGGCAGACACCCAAACCACCCCTGTGGGCTCCCTCCAGCTTGGGCCTGAGCCCTTAGCACAGTGAGGGCTGGGGGCACCCACCTGGGCAGATGTTCAGCTTGAAGTTCTCCACGAGGTGGGTCATGGTGGTGAAGTCTGCCGAGTAGGAGAAGTGCTGCTCCACGGGCTCGGAGGCGATGGCTCTCAGCTCCTCTTCCACCGCCTTCCCCACACCCACGGCGAACATGACGATCCCTGTGTGGCAAGGACAGGTCCTGAGCATTGCACTGGCCACCCTGCACCAAGCAGCCCCAAGGAGCAAAGCTGAGGATGCAGGATTTTTCCCTGGGCTTCCCAAATACACGGCAGGAATTTGGGAAGGACAGGCAGGAGCATGGGACCACCAGCATGGGTGCAGACTGCTGCAGAAGGACACTGCTCAGGGCACCCTGTGATAATGGCAGAGGCCTCAGGTGATGCAGCATCTAAGGGTGGGTGCTGCAGGCTGCCCCAGAGCCAGCCACCCCGAAGAACCCTCCCCACATGCCCAAAGAACTGCAATTTGGGGCTCCCCAGCCCCCCACACCTGACTCCTTTGCTCTCCTGGCCCATTCAGAGATGTCATCTTGGGAGCGTCCATCTGTAAAGACGAGCCCAATTCTGGGCACGTTGTGAGAGAGAGGCCTGGCACCTTCCAGCTCGGAGAAGCTGTGCTCCACCATGTGCTTGAGGGCAAGGCCTGTCATGGTGCCTTTCTCCATGTACTCCACCTCCATCACTGCCTTCTTGATCTCGTCGGCGCTGTGGTACTTGTTGAGGGGGAACTCGGTGCGGACGCGGCTGGAGTACTGCACCAGCCCCACCCGGGTGCCATGGGGGGACACCTCCAGCAGGTCCACAATGCGGTTCACAAACTGCTTCACCAGCTCAAAGTTTTGGGGCCTGACGCTCTTGGAGCCATCGATCACCATCACCAGGTCAACGTGCCCAGTTCCACACCCTGTGGGCACAGCAGGAAGGTGAGAAGGGACCAGCCTGGCCATGGGCACCATCAGGGTGAAGATGACAAGGGCCAGGGCACCATGTGGACACCCCGGACCTGCAGCCAGGGTGATGCCAGGAAGCAGAGCAAAGCATGCACAGGAGGCTCAGCCCAAAAACCTCCACTGCCACCCCAGTATCCCCTGGAAGTCCTTCCTAGGTTTCCCTTTTTCTCAGCCTCTCCTCAAAGCTCCTGTTACATCTTCTGGACCAAGTCAGCACGGACATGAGCCCACATCCATCTCCAAGCAACCAGGGTGCTCCCCCACACCCAACAAGCTTTCCATCCTCTCTCAGCCCAGCTCAGACCAAGTCCCACAGAGACCCCCAGCCCAGTTTCAGCAGAGCCCAGCCAAGGAGGGTGCTGTGGGGTGGTACTCACTGCTGCATGCCTTGCCATCAGCCTGGAGCTGCTGGCCCTCGGGGCACACGCAGCGGTAGGAGCCCTGTGTGCTCACACACTTGAACTCGCAGCCGTGGTCCACCCCGTTGCAGAGGTCGGTGGCTGGAAGACAAGCCAAGGGCACAGGGTTATCCCCCTCCAGGTGAGGGAGCTCCTCCTTCCCCTGGGGAGCGGGCAGGGCAGGAAGGGCACCGGGACATACCCCTGCAGGACCTGCCGTCGGGCTGCAGCGTGAACCCGCGGTGGCAGCGGCAGTAGTGCCCGCTGGGGACACTGACACACTCATGCTGGCAGCTGTGGTTGCCGAAGCTGCAGTAATCGATCACTGGTGAGACAAGGGGAAAGGCAAGAGGTGGAGAGGGAGGGCGAGAAGCAAACACAGAAGGGAGAGAGGAGAGGGAGGCTTACGAGTGCAGCTCCTCCTGTCCTGCTGCAGGTGGTACCCCGCTCGGCAGCGGCACTGGTAGGACCCGCGGGTGCTGACGCAGTGGTGCTGGCAGCCGTGCTGCCCCTCTGCACAGGCATCGATGGCTGCGGGGCAACAGGACACCCTGTTGGCTTGGCCTCCTCAGGGCAGCTGAGCAGAGGCTGTCCCGGGGCTTCAAAGCAGCTCCCAGCACCACAAGACATGAAGGAAAAGTCCCAGGGTGGTGGCCAGAGCAACTAGTACAGCTTTGCTCTCGACATATAGGGCCAAAGCACTGGGCACTTGGACTGGGAGGTGCATGCTCTGGTACCCATTGCCTGAAACTTCCTTGGGTGACAGCCAGTAGTGTCCACATGAGTCCCAACTTTCCCATCCCAGAGAGGTGATCAGGATTTAGCAACCCTGGCCCCATTCACAGCCACTAGAAACCCAGGAGGCAGCAGACCCAGTGAATAGAGCACCCAGGATGCTGCTGGCTTCACTGGGTCCTCTGCTGCATTTCAGCTTCTCTCCATGACACCTGTAACTACAAGAGTTAGGATAAAAAAAGGGTTCTTACGGGAACAGGTCTTTCTGTCCACGTTGAGCCTGTAGCCCGGGTTGCATTCACAGTAGAAGGAGCTGGGAGTGTTGATGCAGCTGTGCTGGCAGCCATGCTGCTGCTCCACACACATGTCCACCCCTGCAAGAAAGAAAAGGCATCAGAGCAGCCCAGGGAGCAGCACACTGGCTGCACAGGGACCCCAGCTCTGGCACACGCCCTGTCCCCACAGCCAGAGCCACTGGGACAACCTGCACGGCCCCAGCCCTTCCAGCCCCAGCACTCACCCACCAGTTCCCTGCTCAGACACGAACGCTGCACGGGGCAGGTTCCTGAGCAGCCTCAGCTTTCAGATCTACCCAAACACTAAATCAATGCTTAATATTAATTGATGCTGTTAATAGCTTGAGCTGAGTAAGAGAAAGCTTGAGCTCCATGATGAAGGAGCCACGTCTGCATGTCTATGCAGCCAGAAGCCCGCAGAGCTGGCTGGAATGAGCCCCCAGCAAGCAGGGACACACCTCAGCACTGATGCAGGGACGTGCCCCAGGCTGGGGAACACTGCCTGGAAGAGGCTGGCACTTGTGCTCTGCCCTTCCACAGATGCTAAAGCACATGAGCAAGGTCTTGACAGCCCACTGCAATGCCAGGTCTCTGGCAAAACCCACCAGCACAGGAAGGGACAGACAGGCCCCAGTCTGCAAGCTCACACATGGCCATGGTGTGAACCAGCCTCCCGGCTCCAGCCAAGACCATCCAGACATTCCAGAGGAGCATCAAGTGGCCAGGGGTTTATAAAAGACAAATGTGGGCACAGCAGATGCCATGCACATGTCTGCAGAGGAGGAGTCCCTGCCAGAGTCCCGTTGAAGGGTTTAAGGGGCTCTGGGATATGTCACCTGCCCCTGTCATACCCAGGGAAACCAGCTCTGTATTTTCCGCTCTTTAATCCTCCCTTCACTGCTGATACAAAGTCTTGGCTTGGAGAAATGCTGCAGGGCATGGGTGAAGATAAGTGCTTGCTTGCAATGCTTTCAAAGCTTTCCTTATCTCACCCCAGCAGAGGAAAGAGGAGCAGGAGCAACAGCCACCTGTCCTGGCATCCTACTGGGGAGCTTGCTTCCTTGTCCTCGCTGCTCCTAGCAAAGCCAGCCCCCCCAAACACCCCTCTGAAGGTCTTTCTTCTAGCCCAGGAGAGGAGCAGGCACCACGGCCACCAACCAACCACCCACCGCAGAGCTTGTCCTGGAACTGCTTCCCGAACTGCTGGATGAGCTCGAAGGATTCCACCAGGAAGACGTGCTCCTCCAGCGGCGGCGAGGCCATGGCCCGCAGCGAGTTCATGTCCGCCCTCTGGATGCCCACGGCGTAGATCTCGATGCCAGCGCTCCGGGCCTGGGCGGCCACCTCGGCAACGCGGTCCTGGGGCCGCCCATCCGTCACCACGATGGCGACGCGGGGGATCTTCTTGTGCAGCGGCCGCGCGCCCTCCTGCGCAGTGAAGGCCACGTTCATGGCGTACTGGATGGCCAGGCCCGTCATGGTGCCCTGGGCCAGCGGGACGATGCTGTTGATGGCCTTCTCCATCTCCGCCCGAGTGAAGAAAGTCTTGAGGGAGAAGATGTTCTGCACCTGGCTGGAGTACTGGATCACGCCCACCCGCGTGGCGTTGGGGCCCAGCTCCAGGTTGCTGATGATGTCCACCATGAAGCGCCGCATGGTCTCGAACTCGAAGGGCCGCACGCTGCGGGAGCTGTCGATCACAAAGACGATGTCCAGGGGGCCCGTCCTGCACTTCAGGGCTGGAAAGGGGACGAGGAGATGGTTCAGCCTCGCAGCTGCCTGCGGGGAGCAGGGCTGGGAGCGGGGACATCCCTGTCGGGTGTGTTCAGTGGGGATGGAGAGGGCAGGTCTGGGCAGTGCCCACCTTCCTGCTGCCAAATGAGCTCACGGGGGTGCTGGCAGAGGAGCAGGGGTGACAGGCTGGGGACACACACCGTCCTCTCCTCCCTGATACTGTCCCTGCAGCCAGACCTCAGTTCCTGCTTCCTGCATGTCCACAGCCAACAGCCTCAGGGGCTGCAGAAGCACATCTGCCCCAACAATGTTTAGGCACAGGTTTAGCCTGTGGCAACTTCATCTCTGCAGCAAATCAGAGCATGAAGGTGCAGACCAGCCCAGTGCCCCGTGCTGTCCCCTGCCAGCTGCAGCTCCTGCTCCAGACCTCTGCACCCACAGCAATACTGCTTTGGGCAGTTCTTCTGCTCCCCCCGCAGCTCCAGCCTCCCCTGGCTTTTGCTGCATTTTGCCAGTTTCTGCCTAAAACTTGCTTTGTCGTGTTTTGGGGTGTTGTTTTTTTTTTAAGGGCAGAAAATGAGACAGTGAAAAGCACAGCTAAGGGCATGCACATGGTGGGGATCAAGCCAAAGAGCCTCTCTTGGCCATATGGGTGCTACTTCCAGTGCAAACCAGGAGAGTGTTTAGCAAGTGAAATGCCAAGGAACATATTTTACTTGGCTTTGCGTGTCCCCAAAGCCTGGGAGAATTTGGCCCTGATGCTAAGCAAACACTTTTAAGTCCTCATGGGATGATGCCCAGACCCAGGCTGTCATCTCAACTGCTCTGAAGGTCTCTGAGACATACCCAGCTCCTTTCTCTGTTCAGTGCCTTCGCTGTTTTTAAACTGGATTTGATTTCTCTCCCTCTGTGTGGGGAGGAAGGAGGCTGGTGCCCCTGGGTTTGTTTTGTCCCCCCCCCCCCATGAGGAGACCCATGTGGGGAGGGGGTTCCCCTCACATCTGTGCTTCCTGCCAAGGTCAGAGCCTGCAGGCAGGAGGGTGACAAGCCCTGAGCTGAGGGTGTGCCCAGAACAAGTGGCACCAGACCCACTGTGCTGGGGCCAGGCTCAGGTTCTCACTCTCCTGGGCAGTGCTGGGAAGTTCAGGTCCCATGCCTGAGGGGGTTCCTCCATCCTCCTGGGGATGACCCTGAAGAAGAAGCACCAGGTCCCCCCACCTCAAGCAGCAAACCATCCTCTGAGGGCTTCCCCACTCAGATAGACACACTTCCCTCTCCTGCAGGGAATTCATGGGCTCACCTGTAGGTTTTGGTCTGGCTTCCACAGTCGTCAGGAGAAACAGGAGGAGCAGGACAACAGGGAGAAGCTTCATCGTGGCTCTGTGAGACCACACAGCTCCGGGGCTGGGGGCACTCGCTGCAGGGAGAAGACAACATTGCAATCAGTACTGAGGGTGGGCTGAGCCGTGGGTGTCCCCAGGCAGTGCCAAAATCCCAGAGCAGCAGCAGTTGTGACAGATCCATCCCTGAATGTCTCTGAACCCACGTGGGACTTTTCCCATTGGAGGACTGGCAGTCCCAGCACAGCTAAATTTCATTACAGTAGCAACCATCTGCCAAAGGGTCTGATTTTCTGCTCCGGGTGGAGCTGGCCATCAGACAAGCCTTATTTTCACTTGCAAACCAGGCGGATGGGATGTTCAGCCAAATCCTTCTTCACTGGCTGTGCAGCTGCTCCCCACAGCCAGCAGGAGAGTGGGAAAGTGGGGACACAGAGCACCAGCCCCCCTGACACTCTCTCCAAACGGCAACGTGCTGGGGAGAGAAACCCCCAAAGGAAAGACCAGCACAGACAAAACCTGCTCAGAAGTCTCTCAAAGGCCATTTTCCCAAGAAGCTCCAGAAATGTTTTCTCTGCCTTCTTCCAGACTGCCTTGGGAAAGCAGAAGTGTGTAAGGGTGCCTGGGCTTGCACCTGCTCCCCCCAGGCAGGGTGCTGGGTGAAGCTCTGCCAGCCTCCTGCTCTCCTTTGGATCCCTCCAGGGGACCCCGCTGCTTTGCAGCTCTCCCCATCCTGATGGCTTTTCCAGGGTGTGCTCTGCACCCCAACAACTTTATCACAAGTTTGAGGCACGAAGTTGGAGGAAAGATCTTTAGACCAGTTACACAAAACCTCACCTCCTCACCTGTCTCCCTCCCTGCCCACCTCTGTGCCCTGCTCTTCCCTTGCCTGGCTCCTGCAGGGACACAGACTCCTTTGGTTTATTTTCATCCGAGTTTTTGTTGGAAACCAAGGTGCTTGGGGGAAGTGGGGGGAGAAATGCCACAGTTAATGTGTCTTCCCCCAGGAGACGTCCAGCGGGGTGACTGGGCACAGACACTGCAGGGGTGCTTTTCAGAAAAAAGCACACGGAAAGTCATGTTATCAGTAGTTATCAGCTGGTATTTATTTAGCCCCAGGAGGTCTCAGTTGTAATTCATCACCGGGGTTGCCATTTAATTGCTCACTGGTTACGTGCAGCCCTGAACCTCACGGATTTGATAGCAGTGACACTGATAAAAGGTTTCACAGCTGCATCTTAAATTTCTCTCTGGACTTGGTGTTCACACCCAAAAAATTATATTGAAGAATGAGAATGGAAAAGGGCTAGAAGAGGGAACTGGGATCCAGAATACCAGTCCCAAAGTGAGAGAGGCTGCCTTTTCCCAAGGACCCTGAGCACTTGTGATGCAGGGGCTCGGCAGCAGGTGCCCAGAGCTCCTGCAGAGCTGGGCAGTGGAGGGGCTGGAAGGATTGCTCCAGGCTGCAGGGCCGAGTGGAAGTGCAGCCCAGCAGGAGTTTTCTAGGAAGCAGAGGGGCCGAGGTGAGCGTGGCTTTGTGGCCCACTGGTGGCTCAGGCGCCTGTGCCCAGTCACAAGATCACCATGTGCAAGTGGAGGAACAAACAGCCCCTCCTATCCCAGCTCCATTTCCCCATTTCTTTAGCAGATTCCTTTTCCAGTAATGCTCTTCTTCTTCTTCTTTTTTTTTTTTTTCTTTTTTTTTCTTTTTTTTTTTTCTTTTTGGAGGGGGGAGGGGGGGGAAACAGGCACTAACCACTAAATATTTTGGGGACAGCTATGGCACCTATAGCTTTTCTGCAGCTCTCTGCTCTCCAAGCCTCCCTGCAATGGCAGGCTGGCATGCAGCCTGGGTCTCACAGCATCCAGATCGCTTCAAAGCCAGCCCAGAGAGAGAGGAATGAGATCTCGGGCCAGGAACCAAGGAGGAGAAAACTAGTTCACGACTGATCTATTTTTAACAGCATCTCAGCTTTGGATGAAGTCTTGGCACTCCCTGCAGCTGGAGGGGCTGATGCTGCCTGGACAGGGCAGGGCACGGTGGCTCAGCCGTGCAGCCAGCACTGGTCCTTGCAGCACAGACCAGGCTGGGACAGTGCCCTGCTCCCCAGTTCAATATAACACCCAGTCCTACCCCAGCAGCAAGGCTGCTGGGGACATGGAAGCAAAGTTGAGGGGACAGATGCTCTCCCAAGTCTCTCTCTCCCACTGGGAAACTTCCCCTGCTACTCTCTGTCCTCATTCCCTGAGTGCCCTGGCAGCACAGGGGCTGACTTGCAGCCCCATGGGGGTTCCCCCAACCCCGAGGGCTCCAAGGCCCCCCTGAGTGCCCTGTCAGCCCGGGGGAGCAGGAGGGGGGGTGGGAAGCAGCCGGCTGGCAGGCAGGTGCTGCAGGGCAAGGCAAACACGGCACCGGCTGCAGCGCCAGAGACCTTGAGATAACGCTGAACTATAAAGGAAAAAAGGGCCAGGAGGGGCCAGTGCTGCTGCCTGGGCTGGCTCAGCTGAACCCACAGCAGCTGAGCAGAGAGGGACACTCAAACCATCTCCTGACCAACACGAAAGGGAAAAGACGCCATTGCTTGGTCTGGCTGAAGGAGATGCTCAGCACATGGCACACAGAGGGTGACCAAGGACAGAAGGGACAGCAATGACTCCAGCCTCCTCTCGGCTCCCCACATGATCTCTGACAAGGAGGACATGGAGATGAATCCCCAGGGACAAACAGGTAAGCCAGCACACCTTCCCTGGGCACCTTCCCTGGGTACCCCCGCTGGCAGTGCTGCCCCCTGCATCTGCATCCCTCCCTGCTCCACCTCATCCCTCTGCCCTCCCTGCCAAGTGCTGAGTCCTGGGGAAAACAGCTGCTTCAGGTTTCAGCAGGGCCTCCTTGGCAGCTCTCTCCCGGCTACAGGTTAATAGAAATGCCCTAAGTATTCCCACTCTGGCTCATCCATGCTGGTGGGAGCTGGGTGCATCCCCCCTTGGGAATGGCAGGGAGAGGGACACAGCCTGCTCTGTATCCTCCTCAGTGTTACAGGGGTGGGGGCTCTAGATACTGAATGGGAGGAGGAATGGAGAAAGAAGGGGTGAAAGGCTGAGGAGATGGCAGTGCATTCTCAGCCTGGGAAAAGGCCCAACAGTAGCATCACAAGAAGAAAAGCAGATTGGGGACCATGGGTGTGGAGTCATGAGCCTGGTCTCTGCCTCACATGCAAGATTTCATACACCTGGACACATCAGCCTTAAGCTGCAATTTCTGAGCATGACAAAACACACACAGCTCCACTCACCAGCCTGGGCTTGGCTCTGCCCTGGCTCCAGACCCTGGGAGAAGCCAGGACAAGGCTTCTTCACAGAGCAGGGCACAGCCAGGGGCCTCTGACCGAGCACACAGTTACCCAACAGCAGCAGGTATGCACAGCCAGCCTGGGCATGCATGGCAGGGCTGCCCATGCTGATGCCACATGTGCTACCACCTCATTGCACATACTTCTGTGCTGAAAACCTTGGCTGTTGGTAGAGCAGCCCTAGGCATGATGTTCCTGAGACTGTCCTGCCTCTCCTGCCTCTCCATGGAGCCTGTTTTGTTCTGCATGGGCTTTTATTTGTGGAGATCCAATCAGGCCATTTGGGCAGGCCATAATCAACTCCCACAAGAGTTATTTGATGGAAGTGTCAAAAAATCCACAAAAAAGGCTGAGGAGGCTGCACACAGACTCCTCATGCTTCGGACACCAGAGTCCTTCCAGGACAAGAGTAGAAAGACAGCAAGAGCTGGCCTCAGGCTGGAGGATGTGGGGACAAGTTTGCATCTGTCCTTGGCATGACAGCAACTCATTGTTTGGGTCCATTCCCGAGAGAAAGACTGCCCAAAAAGTGCATGTGAGACCAAGAGAGGACAACAGAAGCATGTTTTACCCCAGGCATGGGGGACAAGGAAGCAACCAGAGCTGCCTGGGCAGATACAGGTACCTTACAGCATCTCGGCAGCACCTCTTGATGTCGGATTTTGCCACGGAAACCCTAATGGACCCCTGGCACATTGCCCATACATTTTCAAGACCCTCAGGCCATGTGAGTGGACAAAGCCATGGAGCTGGATCCACCCTCTCCTGGAGGATGGCCCAAAGGCTGGTTTCTCCCAACACAAGCCACCACCACTGGGTGCTCCCTGCCTGCCTGTGTGCGGCTCCCAGCGCACAACCCAGCCTTACCCTCCTCAGTGCCTCTGCTGCTGGTGGGCACTGAATCCACCCTCAGGACCATTTCACAGGCAGTGCTGACCTTGCAGTTAGTCACAGCTCCAGCCTCTCAATCCTCATCCTCCACGGGGGCCAGTGATGAGCAGCAAATCCCACAAGAGAGGACAGCAATGCGGTTTTCAGAGCAAAAAAAGCATCAGGGAGCACAAGTTCTTCAAGACCAGAAAAATGGCAGAGATTTCCAGTCCGAAATGTTTTTTCCCCCCTTTTTAAGGTCTGATGTGTCCTTGGTTCTTCCCAAACACATACATGTGGTTGAACAAGAGCAGACTCTTTCCAGGACATTGCAGTACTCTCTGGTTATGATGCTATTGCAGCTTTACTGGCCCAAGTGCCACCTGGAAGGACCCGGTGTTTGACAAACAAGGCTGTACTTCTTGAACAGCACATGAAGGCTCCAAACCCAACAGGAGCAAATCAGCAGGAGTGCTGTAACAGGAAAACCTTGCTGGATGTAGAAGGGACTTCTCTTTCATTCCCCATGCTCCCCCAAAAGGCCAGTTCCCCATTTTATGGGGCCCACTGCTGTACTCCCTAAGATTAGCACCTGTGCAGGGAGGACAGGACTGGTTTCTTGCCCAGGTCCATCTGCAGACAGATGTCTTTGTCTCACAGCTCATGGCCGTAACATCATACAAGTCCCCACAGGCCTATACTACAAGATGACACTTAAAGTCCCCTTGGGAGGAAAATGCTGGGTGCAGCAAAGGACAGAGCATCCCCTACTAAATATTCCTCACAACAGCACGGGGGGTCTTTCTCTCCTAA